ACATGATGCTTCTTGCAATTAGTAATAAATCTTTGGCAGTAAGCCAGAATACGAACAATTTTACAATGTGAAGAATAATGCTCGAACAAATTAGCTAATAAATCATTCGATTCACGTATATGAGATATAAAAATAGGATCAGATCTTTGTTCAGGCCTTTACTTCAGCATATCATCTTCAGATTTTAATTCATATTTAGGCCATTTTTCCTCTTCCTGACGCAACCATGGTGGACCATTCCACCACAAAGTACAATTTGGTAGGAGTTGAGGTTCAATACCACGAGAAGCAATGTCTGCAGGATTCTGTTTAGAGGGAACATGATTCCAATTTTAATAGGTATCACTTCTATGATTTGAGATGTTCTGTTTGCCACAAAAGTTTTCCATTTACGTGGATGAGCTGATAGCCAAGACAGAACTAACTACCTTGGAATCCGTCCACGCAAAGATTTCGAAATTAAACTTCTTTAAAATGTTCAATAGAGATCGCATTAATCTGGTCAACAAATACGCAGCACAGAGTTCTAATCGAGGAATGGATACTTGCTTTATAGGCGCGACTTTAGTCTTTGATACCAAAAGATTAACCTTAACCGTACCATTGCACTTTTTGGCGACAGTAAATGGCTGCTGCATAGGCCTGCGAAGATGCATCAGAAAATCCATGTAGTTGGATAACACTGTCCGTTGTAAGTATGACACATCTCGGAATTTCACAATTATTGATTTGACTGAATGTCTCTTGAAATTTAAACCAATCATCTGAGATATGCTGGGGAACAACTGAATCCCAGTCGCCTTTAACTAACCATAGTTTTTGATAGAAATATTTTAATCAATATAGTGCAAGGAGATAAGAGACCTAAAGGATCGAAAATGCGAGCAGATTCTGCTAATATGCGTCTCTTTGTTATAGGTGCGTTGATGTGCAGTGTAGCTTTAAAACTGAAGGTATCAGTAGTTGAATTCCAAAAAAGTCCTAAGACTTTCGAACTCGAATTAGGAGATATCTCAAAATCAGAATTCAATGAACAATGTTCCTTAAATTCAGTTAAGAATTCTACAGAATTTGAATTCCACTTCCTCAAATCAAAACCACGTGCATGTAAAATTGAAGATATTTTCTTGCAGACAGATACTGCATCATCAACTGTATTTGCACCCGACAATAAGTCGTCCATATACATATCCTCTTGCAATATACGAGATACATCTGATTCCTCTTTAGAATCTAAAGCTACCTGCTTCAGACATCGAGTTTGCTAAAAATGAAGCAGAGGAAAGACCATAAGTAACTGTTTTCAACTTGTACGTGCGCATTTTATCACTGGAATTGTATCGCCAAAGTATCAATTGATAATTCTGATCTTCAGGGGCTACCATCACCTGACGATACATCTTCTCCACATCGGCTGTGAAAACAATTTTAGGAAATCGAAAATTAATCAAAATCTCAAAAATATCTCTTTGTAATTTCGGACCTACCCCTAAAAGAGAATTCAATGATATACCATTTTCAGATTTACAGGATGCATCAAAAACTACTCTTAATTTTGTCGTTGTGCTAGAAGGTTTAATGACCGCATGATGAGGAAGATAAAACTTTTCTATATCCGATCTGTTAGATAAATCATCATTAATCACAGTCATATGTCCTAACTGTTCATATTCATGTATGAAATCTTTATACTGTTTTTCAAATTCCGGATTATCTTTGAATTTTCGTTCCATGGAACGCAACCTAGAAATTGCTGCCGGTTTTGAATCACCCAACTTCAAATGCGATTTATAAAATGGAAGTTTTACAACAAATCGCCCATCTGAATTAACAGAATGAGTGTTTTGAAAATGTGATTCACAAAATTGTTCCTCAGGTGTCAGAAATTCCTTTTTCCCAACATCGACAATATCCTCCATTTCCCAGAAACGCTTAAGTTCGTAATCAATATTTATATTATCTTCTAACTTTATGAAGTGTGCATTTGCTGTTTTTGGGCCTTCCATATTATTTCCGACCTTCCCAGCAATCACCCAACCGAAAATTGTATTTTGAGCTACAGGCTCATTTTTCGAACCATATATTTGGCCACATCTTAAAACGGAGAAAAAATAATCAGCTCCTAAAATCAAATCAATTTCTTTGGGTTGAGCAAAATTCGGATCCGCTAACGGAATAGATTTAATGTATTCTATATGCTTTACATTAATCACTTGTTCCGGCAATGGCAAAGTTAACCTATCCAAAATGTATGCGTTAACATCAATTACTTCATTATTTAACTTGACTGAACTTTAAAATCAACAGAACCACGAGTTTTGGAAGCTGGCACTCCGCCAATTCCACGCAAAAGTAACCTTTGATTTGTTCTTTTTAATCCTAATCTTCGAACAGCTCGTTCAGAAATAAACGAACTTTCACTTCCGGAATCCAATAATAATTTAATTTCGATAGTTTCGCCACTGGACGAAAATGCGAGTGCGAGAACCGTAGGCAAAATCGCCGAGTTGCAATTTTGAATCGTATTACTGACACTACCTGACCTTGACCCTCGCATGATTCATTCGAAATTCTCTCTCTGGAGTGCTTTCGTTTTCATTTGGCGCTTTTTAAAAGCTGTACGTTGTTAGCTTTAATATCTTCATGCAACAAACTATTATGTGTTTTTGAATTACACAAATTACACTTTAACTGTGAATTACAGTTTTTGATTAGATGTGAATTTAAACATAAAAAACACAATCCTCGTTTTCGTACAAAGTTCTTTCTAGCAGTAACATCCAAATTCTTAAATTTAACGCATTTATATAACGCATGAAGTCCGTTACATTTCGAACATTTAGTATTACTAAATTTAGAATTCTGTAATGTTTTAGAACTAACATTACTATTTTTATCAACAACTTTAGCTTCCGCTTCTTTATTTATGATAATTTCGAGAGAAGAACACCTTAAATTTAAAAATTCAAAAAATGATTCCAATGTAGGAAAATCATCTTCCGCTGTTTTCTGTGCCCATAACTTTCGAGTTTCTGAATCTACCTTTTGAAGCAACATAAATATTAACCATGGATCCCTAGAAGTTGCTTTGTCACCAAGAGCTTTTAAACCTCTGATAACTTCATCGGAAGTATCAGCTAATTGCCGTAAATTAACATTATCAACCTGTGAAATACATTTTTGATCCATAAATGTTTTAATTAACGATTGTACGATTTGTTTTCTTTTTATCGTACCTAGCGAGCAATTTTGCCCATGCTTCTTCATAAGAATTATTTGATAACGGAATATGTTTAATTATAGAAGCTGGTTCATCAGCAAGTGATCCGATTAAATACTGAAATTTCTGTATATTCGATAAAGTATTATGCACTGTTGCAACAAACAAATCTTTAAAATTCATCCAGTCATTAAAGTTACCCGAAAAAATAGGAATATTTTAACTTAGGTAACTTAATTTCCTGAAACATTTGGCACATTAGCCACATTTAATACATCTAATAAATTTTGATACTGAAGTTTCAAACTAAAATACTTCGATTCAAAATCTTCAATTTCTGACTGTTCTTCTGGTAATTGGGCATCAAATTTATCAAAATCTGAATAAATCCTTTCTAAGCGCTCCAGATGCAAAATTACTTCATTTTTAGATAAATCGGAAGAAATAGTATTCTGAAGCCTTGTGAAGGCCGCTTTTGCCCTACCACGCAATCTAATGACAGTAGCTTGATCCATAATAAGTAATCGAAGTATTCAAGTTCAAAATCAAAATCAATACAAAATAGATATAAAACTTCAAGAATCAAATTTAGATGTAAATCGAAATAAAAAGCACTTATCTGTACTTGAACTGCTGACGAATTCCGCCTGAATCTCGCCGCCGTGCCTCCAGAAATTTGTTTACGTTCCTCGTATTAGAATGGCGCCGACATGGATGACGCAGTTTCGACTTTAAACATACTTAATAAATTCAGTCACTCTCGTCTATTTAAACCAAACTGAATACATTTAATAATAAAACAGTCACCCATAAACATTTAGTAATAATTCAGCAGTACAGGTAAGCATAAAATAATAATTACAACAGTTACAGGTCAGCTTTTAGCGACCGAATTCTACAAACGACAAATCTCAAAAGCTTGTTGCCAACGCAGGGCAACAAAAAGGTAGAAATTAATTCGATAGGCGTGGAAGTAAACAGCCGATAATAGTAATAAGTTATTATTAGCTTATACATTCTCATCCAATTTCATGATAAAAATCTTATTAGTAAATATCAGCAAAATATGTTTCTTACAGAGTTAAGTAAATGAATTAAGTATACATTTTATGGTACAATAATGCAGTCTTAAATACAGCAATTTGTGTATATTAGATTAACTGTCATAGTTATAAGTATTATACTTCATGAAAACTTTCATTATTATCACTAACCTTGCACATAAATGATACGTAACTATTTTTGAACATTTACTTAAGAAAAATGATGTTTTTAGATGGATGCATAGTTAAAAAATTTTAACAAACACTGTGAAAAAGAATTTTAACTTGGCAGACTAATACATATCTTTGCACAGCTTATGAAAATTACATAGCACACAGAACTGAAAATACATTTACTGAACTTTAAAAGCTTTTAACTGAAAAAGCAGACCTTTGCAAAAGATTTTTACGATTACATAATAAAGATTAACAGGGAGGAAAATTTTTCATTCATGACATATTTCTAGCTTTTATACTAAAAGAAATTGTATGTTCTTGGTAAACTTATAGGCTGTTGAATTGAATATAACATATTAAACACATATTTTTTTCTCCTTAGAGAAATGAATTCATTACTCATTGCCCACTTCTTTGGTTCATTTATATATTTTCAGAGTACCTTAAATCACAGTACAGATTTAATAAGATGCAAAATGTTTAAATGAATACAGTTAAGTAAAATATTTTAAAAATTTAAATTGTTAAAAGATTTCTTGCTAAACATAAAGATCACAAAACACATTTCACAAAAATCTTTATTGATATACAAAGATATACATAAACTCGTTAATTTTCTTTAATTTGTTCCAGAAGGCCTGAAAGATTAAAGAAAAACATATTTTGAGATACTTATTTAATAACAAAAAATATTTTACGCAAGATACAAAATTTCAAACAATTCCACTAAAAAGTATGACATTTGATATTTTGAAAGAGAAAATTTTAAAATAAAAGTCAGCAGCAATTTAAACTTCTAATTGCATTATAACCACAGCTACCATATTCATACTTAACAAAAAAGAAAAGTGCTATTGTATCAAGTGCCTGTACACAAATGCTTTTCTTTTACTTATATCTAAATTAATATTCTAAGAACACTCATCCATTCGTTTTGCTTTCAGTTTTATATTAATGTGTTTGTTATTCTGCAAAATATTTTGTCTTTTTATTAATTCACAATACAGAATCATCCTAATCATTTTATGATTATGAAAAAAGTGAAATATACAATATTTGTTAAGTAGATTCCTTAATCAGTATCTCTAAAACAAAGTGCAATTCAAGTTTCACATACTGTATTGTAAAATGCTGCCAATAATATTCTATAAATTTTTATAAGAAAGCATATTAATAGCTATTAAAATACTATTCCTTTTTAAAAAAGATATACTTGTGCTAGTGGACCATAAATACATATCAGCAAAAAAATTTCAGAAATTTTAACATATTAATTGATGCTGTAGGTGCCTCTCTATCGTACCAAATATTCCATATCTCAAAATTTTAATCAAATTTTCTCCAATAACCATAATTTCAATTCATAATATACTGGCTCATGTACCGGAAAAATGCCTCAAGGGAACATCAAACATTAAATTTAAAAACTGCACAGAATTTTACTCTGCAGAACACCTTCATCAATAAATAAATAAATAAAAAAGAAAATAAAAATCTTAAAGGCTTCAAATTTTAAATTACGTCCAAAGTGGCGTTTTTTAACATTTTGTCTGTTACCTTTATTTATTAAATATCACATTCTTCGCATGTAAACCATAAAATTCTGTTCATGAGCAATATTCCAAAATAGTTTTAAACTAAGCATATCTTTAGAATTTCCAATATAGTCTTGCACGCTGGAGATAAAAATGTTTTTTCTCTACAGTGCTGCCATTGCTCGCTTTTAAATCTTGAGTTTGTTAATCAAAAATTAGGTAAACTTTTACAAAATATGAAATTGATAAAAAAAAAACAATTTCAAATATCAAATTTGGGCTTCCGCATGCCCACATTCACAGTAGGATTACATCATTCAAAATTTAATGGCTACGTACTGTTGTTTTATCACAATGCGAGAAACATACATACAGTTGTGCAGATTTTTCATTATTTAATTTCTTCAAATATAATGTAGGACTCTGAACATTTGGTAGCAACAGTTTGAAAAGTGAAACTTACATTTATAGTAAACCAACACAAAATCGCAAAATGAAAACAATAGTCCTTCAGGAACAAAGCCCCTTTGGACTAAAAAACCACAAATTTCAAAACAAAATGTATTACATATAACAAAATTGCAATGAAATAAGCAATATCCCTTAATACAAATATTAATTTTCCTAATAAATAAATTAACCAACTTTCCATTGCCTTCTCTCAACAAATGTCCAGTATCCAATAGAAATATTAAATTTAAAAACTGCACAGAATTATCACCCTCATTCTTCCAAGTGGCTCGAATCTTGAAAAAAATTGCTTCGAGGTGCACTGTCTCTTGTCCAGATGCAACAATATACCAAATTTCATAGCCCTGGGTCTATTAGCTTACGCACAGCACGAACGAAAGACACACAGATATGATATAAAAATGAGTTTGGGGGGGGATATAATAAGAACTCGCTCATCACTTGGATCTTATGTCTATAAGAAATCCTTATGTGGCTTTTACAATCACTGTAATAGACACATACTTCCAAAAATGCTTTAATTAAATCAAATATTCATGCTTTGGCAATTTTTTTCTAAAATTACAAAATTGAATTTTTCATTGAAAGCTGATTTAATTCTCAAAATAAAACACAGAAAGTTTGAATTCCATGTGATAAAAACGGACTAAGATATATAATTTTATAGTTTGATGCCATGTTTTTTTAAAGTGCAGGAGTCATACCCATAACTGATTAGTGAAATATTAAAATTTGGGCATGGACACTTAGCTAATGGGACACTTAACCGACAAGACATTTAGCCGACAGGGTCACTTAGCCAACAGGACGTTTAGCCAACAAGGACAGTTAGCCAACACGGACACTTCGCCAACATGACATTGATTCGACAATGAGTCTCGCTCTTCCCAATGGTTCTAGATTTCTAATACTTTCACATTTCATTACTACTTTGCTCAACACATCACACTACATTCATTCCCGTATAAAGTCGTTTCGCTTCTCCCACTAATGAAATTTCCTTTCCCTGTCAGGAAGTAGAGTGATTTCTCGCCACACTGAAACTTTTTTTATCTGGAATGCTATTTACACCCCATACAATTACAGGTTTACGCATCGCATATTTATTAATCTTGGATAGTACTCCGGCACAGGAATTCGTACCTTGTGGCCTGCGGCCAGAAGTAGGTTATGGTTTATGTAATTATGGCAAAGCCAGAGGGCTATCTGCATAACAAGAGGGATAACTTCTGGAGGACTTTCTAAGGAAAACTGGCTCATTTACATGGGGAAAACCACGAAAACACAGATGCAGCATGTCCATATGCAGGATTCAAAATTTGGACCGAACTGCCAGTGTTTAGTGAATTTACCGCTCGACCGCTGCTGGGCCTAACAGAAATAGAGTGACCGTTTTACTTAATATACACTGACTACCAATAAGTATTTGGACACCTGGTGATAGAAAAGAAAAACTAACTTTATTCAAAATCAATAGTTGGTAGAGCCTCCACGAGAGGTAATTACAGTGTGGACCCTCCGGGGCATACTTTCCACAAGTGTTTGTATGACAGCTAGTGGTATTTTCTTCCACTCGGCTTGGAGAAGACATAGAAGTTCCTTCACCGATTTTGCATGGGTAGTGAGTGCACCCTTGAATTCGGATATGCAACTTGTCCCAGAGGTTCTCGATAGGGTTCAGGTCTGGACTCTGGACAGGCCAGTCCATTCGATTAACTCCATTGGCACCATACCAAGCCTTGGTTAACGTCGAAACATGACAACCGGCATTGTCGTTCTGAAAGTAACAGGAGTCCAACCCGTAAAACTGCCACAACGTAGGAAGTACATTGTCATCCAAAATAGTGCAGTAGGCATCAGAGTTGAGCTTACCATGAATGGGAAGCAAGGGCCTCAGCCCATACCAGGAGAAACACCCCCAGACCATAATTCCACCTCCGCCGAACTTGACTGTTGGCACAATGCATTCTGGCAGGAGACGTTCTCCCGGTAGACGCCAGACCCAGACCCTGCCATCCGAATGGTAAAGGATGAACCTTGATTCATCACTCTAAAGAACCCGTTTCCACTGATCTACGGTACAATTTAAATGTGCTTTGCACCACATTAAGCAAGCAGCGCGGTTGGACTTTGTGATCAAAAGCTTATGGGCAGCAGCACGACCATGAAAACCAAGCAGATGTGCTTCCTTATGAATGGTATTCATTAAAACAATACTCCCGGATGCCTGTTGAAACTCCTCGTGGATGAGGGCCACCGGTTGGGTGCGGTTCTTCCGAATTTCTCTGGACAGCACTCGTCGGTCTCTATCTCCCAGTTTCGCTGGTCTGCCGACTCAGGGCACATTCCGACAATCACCGCTCACCTACCACTTCCTAATCACATAGGCCACTGTCGATTTTAGGTACTTCAGATCGCTAGATATGTCCTTTAAGGATCGACCACATTTGTGATACCTGATAATTATACCTTTCTCGAAATCAGAGAGCTCCGAACTGCTAGGCATCTTGCATGCGACTAAAGCCGATGCTGTTTCCTACACGATATATACCGGCAGAGTCCGTGACATACCTTAGGACCGCAGATATTGTCACTTGATAAGGTACACAAATACTTATTGGTAGTCAGTGTATAACCAGTCATGCATTCAGAAAAATGGGCACCAAAAATTTCCCTATTGCCATGTAGCTACAACAAAAACGTGAAAGAGAAGGATTGAAAGAGAAAAAAAAAAAAGGTTAAAGTTAATGAAAAGTGAAATGAAAATTTATACATTTTTAACAGATATTGAGAAAGTTACATTTTATGAGAAAAACATGAAACAATATAACAATATTGAAAATTACACATCGCGGCTTTCAAAACAGAGTACATAATATTATCTAGTTAAATTTATCTTTGATAGATGGCACCACATTACGGTGACTTTTCAGGATGTCTCCACTTTGCTCCGCCCTGCTTGGTGCTCCTCCTTCTGTAGATTCCTCCGATTTCTCTTTGGAGATTTTCCAACGTCCAGAATTTCATATCAGAAACGATTTCGATATAGTATGAAGAATGAAAAATGTAGTTTTTGAGAATAGAATTCAGTTATGAATGAAATAAAACCTTTAAAAATATTTTACTTCTAAACTTCTTTTATTAACCTAAGTATTTTAAGAGAGAGGCGTGGTCAATAAAATGTTACAGAATTTTAATCTCAAGTATGGTGGCATGAACAGACCATTATAGAGGTAAATAATTTATACCTTTGCTTGTCTTAATGCACTTTTTTAAAATTGTTTCTAATAACAAAATAATATATATTTCGAAACTAACCTTTCACCACCACGTTTCTATAAAAAGTATAATTCAAGAATAACAATAATTTTCATTATTTAGATTTTTCATGACAGGGAAAGGAAATTTTATTTGTGGGAGAAGCGAAATGATTTTGTAAAGAAAAGAATGTAACATGAAGTATTGAGTAAAGTAGTAATGAAACGTAAAGGTATTAGAAACTTGAAAGCATTTGGAAGAGTGAGATTGGAAAATCAATATCGTTAAGTAAAAATTATTAATGATGTGAAAGTGTTCAAAAGAACCCAGTTGATTAAATGAAGAAGCTTTACAGATAATTTTTGAAGATCCCAAATGTAATTAAGCGACTGCCGTACATAGCTAAAAAATTCTTCTTTCCTTTCGAAATTTATTTCACTTTTCCTGATGAGAAATTTCAGTGCTTTTTCACTTTGGCCAATATGCACCAAGTGAAAAAATGACTTAACTATTGAACTTATGGAGAAGTCAAGAAATTTTGTAAGTGATAGTAAGTTTAAATAATTATTGGGTCCATGCCAGTTAAACGTCACTGTCGGCTTAGTATCCTGTTGACTAAATGTCTTGACAGTTAAGTGTCCCATAGCTAAATGTCCTGACAACTAATTCTCTGTGTCGTCCAAATGTCCTGTCGGCTAAGTGTCCTTGTCGTCTAAATGTCCTGTTGGCTAAATGTCCTTGTCAGCTAAATGTCCTGTCGGCTAACTGTCCTTGTCGGCTTAGTGTCCGTAGATGTGTTCACATATGCATGTACATATGTAAGCAGAAATGTATGCGTGTACACATATATGCAGGTACATACATACACACTCACATACAGTTATACATTTCTGAATCCGGTCCTCAAAACAGAACAGTACCATATCATTATTGTATTTTTGGCATATGAAAACTTATAAATTACTTGCATGAAAATGTTTTTTGCACATGAAATGTAATAATGTTACATACTAGTTATATTATAAAGAAATATTATGGAATGGCATTAAATTGGGAGGGGGAATATACATCTGACTAAAATCCCAAATTCTGAAATTGAATACCTCGGTCAATATATGCCATAGAGTAGGCAAACATTTTGTGTTTTATTTTTTAGAATAAGAATAAATTTTACTTCGTATAACTTTATAAACTGGGTGACTGTAAAAAAGTTAGATTTCTTTTGCAAGATTGACTTTTTAGTAAGAAATGTGGTACACATAGTAAACTTTTATTACCTCTTTTAAATCATACTTCTTATAAGTAAATCAGCATATGGGTACAACCTATTTCTATGACTTCAGCATTAACTATAAATACAATCTAACATGATCGGCAGCAAAAGTGTTAATAGTTGTAAAAACAATGACCATGTGTCGACTTTTGTGGACATAGTGCATAACAGGTATTAAAATGAATGATAAAAGCAATATAATGTAAAAGCCTGAATGTTTGGCTTTTAACTAATCAGCAAGCTCGAATAACCAGAATATTAAAATTTTAAAAACTACTATTTCCCTCCTTTTTTTCAACAAAATATTTAGCAAAGAGAGACTAATTAAACAGCTACTACTAAGCATATGTAGGATAATGATTTTTAACAAACAAAAACCATAGCCAAGTGTTATTTAGCACCAATAATTGATAAGCATAATGCCACAACATGACCAAAATCTTTACCATATGGCCATAAGACTACTGCCTTATTTTAGGCTACATAGATTAATTCTTGATAGGCTGGTTTATTTTTTGTGAAGGATACAAGTTAATTGCTATTTATCTATTTTCCCCTTGTATTTTGAATAAAATGATTAAAATTTGAGAATTCTCTTAAAATGAACAACATGCACTGGACTATTAAAATATTAAGAGATTCTAGCCTTAAGAATGGCATGTAACTTTATTTGAAAACAGGTTAACAATGGTGATGAAAAGTGGAAAATTATAACAAATGATTTTAAGTTTTTCATATACTATATCTTGTGTATCTTGATTACCTAACTAAAGAAAGAGAGATCAGTTCTGTCAGATTTCTACTAGACTGACAAGCATAAGTCTTCCAGAATCTCTGCCATCCTATAAGGCTGAATTTCATGATTGGATAAAATGTTTCATTTTCATATTTTTGATGTCTACAAAAATATAATAAGCTTTTATGTTCCAAATGAATTTTCCCCTTAATCTTACATAATGTTAAATGTTGACAAGATGACAGCTTTTATAACTGTAGACCAGAAATTTCCTGCACTTCTTACATACTCAAATGCCTGGAATTTTCATGTATCCAGCATTCAGGTTTTCTGGATCGTCAAGCTTTCATAGCAATACAAATAGTAATTTATCAAAAATATATAACTTACAGATTTGAACAAAATACAGCTAACGGTTTTCACATTATCTAACATGTCTTTAACCACATCATAATTTGAATCAGAAGTAATAAGCACTATTAAACTCATATAATTAGAGCACAGAAATAACATTGATAATATATTAAACAAAATTATTAATCATTTAAAAAATTCTTAAATTTTATTATGTATAAAATGATTAATATAATGCAAAATAAACTCAGAGCAGGAGAAAACATTTGAGGTTATACAAAATTTGCAGAGATTTTGGGAATAAGATGTACAAAAGAGAAATATAAAGGAATATTTTAACTTTTGTATGCATTTAAATGAAAACCTAATGTCAAAAACAACTAATAAACTGATTCAAAACATGTAAAAAATAAACTTTTTAACACAAATTTCTTAAGTCATAACTTAAGAAGTGATACTTACTTTGCCCATTCTACACTCAAAATCAGATTATCATAACCATATCCATTGACACACTGAATGGCCCTAGCAGCATCTTCTCGCCGATGATAACTTATGAAAGCAAAACCCTAAAGGGATAGTCAAAGAAAATTAAAAATCCAATTGATGAAAGCCTAAAAATTTGGAACACTAACAGCTATATAAAATAAGATAAATTTAAGATAAATTTTAAATAATTAAGATTAACATCCCTAATTTACCTTTGATTGACCTGTAGCTTTATCCTTTGCCAAGTAAATACGAGCAATAGTTCCAAATGGTCTGAATAGTTCCTGCAGATCTGGATCTCTAACGTCTTCAGACAGATTTGTCACACGGATAGTTGCTGCCTCATCTTTAGAGATGGAAAATTTAATAAATAATAAAATAAATTACGATACAAATAAGAGTAAATAACTGTGTGTGTGATATTTATTCATAATATTTCATACAGAATAAAATTATATTTACAATTATTTAACCTGAGAATACTGAATACAGTAGAGAGTATTAAAATTCTTCCAAAGACATTTCTAAGTGGTGTATTTTTCTGATAACTCTCCTGTTTCTGGTAGTTGTATGTCAGAAATTATATAATAAAATAGGAATGTTGCAAGGGGGAAAAATGTATCGAACAGGAAGTTCAAGAACATATTTTGCTTTTCTAAACTATTTAAAAATCTAACAATAAATACAGGGTTGTATAGAAATATGGAAACAGCAAAAGAAAAACACATTGCTGTGACTAATATGGCATAGGAAAACTGCTGACATTCAAAACAGCTTGCAGTCTTCTTGGAATGGATAAATACAAATCTTGTATACTTTGTTAGGGAATCTTGTACCATTCTTCTTGTAAAACATTTGCAAGTTCAGTTAATGATGATGGTGGTTGATAGAGCTCAGGCATATTTCTCTCCAAAACAGCCCACAAAGGCTAATAATATTGATATCTGGTTACTGAGGTAGATCTGAGAGTTCACCCTCATGCTGAAAAAAACAATCCTGGATGATGTGAGCTGAGTGAACAGGAGCTCTTTCATCTTGGATACAGGCATCACCATTGCGGAACAAAATTTGTACTACGGAATGGATGTGATCAGCCAAGATGGTCACATAATCCTTGGCAGTAATGTGATCTTGCACAGTAATGATGGGTATCATGGAATACCATGACAGGCCTGCCCAAACCATGAACCAAACCCTTCCCATGTTTCACTCTCGGCAGCGACCAGTCTTATATGCTTGGAACGTCATTCGCCAGATGTAAACTTGCCCAGAAATTGGAAACAGTATGAAGAAAGACTCATCCGACCAAATGAAAGTCCTCCATTACTCTACAGTCCAGGTTTTATGACTTTGGCACCACTTTCTCCTCTTACAGGCATTCTGATCACTGATGACAGGGTCTTGAATTGCAACACTCCCAAAAATACCCTATAGTGGAGCTTCCTTGTTTTGTTTTGGTGGTGACAGAGTTGGCAAGTGCAACATTCAGTTCAGCAGTCTGAGGCTCTAATCCTCTTATTTTGCATCACAATCCTCTTCAATGATCATCTGTCATAATCACTCAACGCACATTTTCGTTGTGCTGCGATTTAGAGGATGCGGTTTTTTTCAGTTTTCCTGTATGAGTTAAAAATTTTAGATACTGTGCTTCTTGAAACACCAAACACTTCAGTTACCTTAGTTATGGAAGCATTCACCAAATGATTCCCAACAATTTGCCAATGTTCAAATTCGTTTAGCTCTGACATGATGCACTCACACCTGCAGAGAACACTGTCTCGATAAAAAATGATACAACATAATGAGGATGTTCTGCAGGTGACATTAGTGAGCAAACACAACAGCATCACAAACAGCTTTTGCAAATATATTCTGTATTTTTGCCCAACCCCTGTATGTAAATCATTTAATGATTAAATACGAAAGGAAACTTTTTTTTGGCATATTTAGTAAAACTACAAATTGTATTCATTTATCTATTCCTTAACCAAAAGGAAAGCAACTGTCATAGGTTCACCACAAAATTGCTCAAGGTCATGGTCATGCAGATTCACAAGAAGTTTTGATCCACCCCATGTTCAGCAAGTGCACTTAGTTTTTATGTTCTACTAAGATTTATCATTATGATTATTAGCCCAAAAGGGACTTAAATCCCAAATGAGATATCAGTCTTGAAATGGCAATTTGCATCAAATCAAATGCATTATATAACTTTTCAAATTGTTGTCACCAAGTATTATCACACTATACTATATTTCAAGAAATTAAAAAAACAAAGAATCTGCATGAATGTATGTATGTTTCTTCCATTGTGAATAAGCAATGGTACATAGAATCATCAGAATTTGAATAACGTAGATCCTCCACTTGAATATGGACACCTTGGAAGCCCAAATATTGTATTTTAAATTTGTTTTATTACCTATTTCATATTTTGTAAAACTCTTAAACAATTTTTTTATCAACAAACTCAAGGATTTCAAGCCAAGCAGTGGCAACACTGTACAGAATAAAACATTTTCATCTCCAGCACATGAGACTGTATCAGAAATTCCAAAGGTATGCTGTTTTTAATATTTTATAATTTTGCCATTGAATCAAATTTTATGTGGTGTAACTGCCAAGGATGTGATACTTACTAAATAAAGTAAACACAGCATTAATAATAAAAAGACCAAAAAAGTTTTGTAAAGCCCTCTTAGTAAGAAAACTGAACATTGATACGATAAACTGAGGAAAGACTGGGGGGGGGGGGGAGAATGTTTGCAAACACTTAATGCTGCATCAGGAATTCTAAATGTATACTGCTTTTAAAATTTTTGTAATTTTGTTGTTGTATTGTATGTAGTGTCTGCAGAATGATGATAATGATGCTTAATAATAAAGCTAAAAAGAAAAAAAATTTAAAGAAGGAGGGTGGCAGGTTAATAGGAGTAAGTGTAACAGCAGACTGGTAGCCTATGAGCTCAGCAAGACTGTGAGCATAAAAAACCTTAACAAATCTTTTTGGATGACCATTTAAATGTGAAATCTTTCAGATTTTTTTTTCTTCAGGATTATTCTCACGAATCTGAAGACTGTTTCTAACACAGGTCTTCATGAGCAGATCCAAAAAGCCATGCCACTTAGAAGGTTAATATTTTTAATGCACTTTGATGATTTATTAAACACTTCAGTATCTTCAGTTGATGAATTATGCTAATTAAGCTTAAACTAACAATTAAAAAAGGAAAAAAAACTGCCTTTCAGTAACTTTGAAAATGCTTTGAACTACCTGTTCAGCAAACCCGATCAAAGTTTATGTCAATGAGAATGCACACTTGATCTTTGGTCGCTAGCAAATTTTATAAATATAGCATGAAGACAATTTAAATATTTACAACATAGCAAAAAATTTATGAATTTTGGAATCACTTAGGCTGTAACAAATGATTAATTTGATTTCTTATGTGCTAATGTTTTCAAGAAATTTTTTTGCAATATACAGTCAAACTGAAAGCAGCCTAAACATTTTAAGTAATAAAAAATTCTAATTCACGAGACTTCCATATAACTGCACTTTAAAAATACCCAGGCTTCTACATAAATATACATGCAAATATACTTAATGAAGTAAGATGAAAATTATTGCATACACTAATCATGTTAATTACTTTAATATATAAAAAATGTCAAAATTTTTATTCATTATTTGCATTAGAAACTGCTACACATAATGATGTGAAATCCTAGGCTCTAATGGAAAATTAAAAAGCAAAGATCCTCTTGGAAAAATCAAAAAAAGTTTTCTTTGCAGTTGGTAATTTGACTTTTTCTGTCAGCAACAGGAATACTGTATGAAAATATTAATACATTGTAATAAAACAATTTTTTAAGACATTAACTTCTGAAAGCAAATACATTAACATTTCTTTAAATAACAGCAAATCAGAAAAAGTGTTTAAAAAAAGGGGGAGAAAGATAAAAAAACATTATCAGTAAACATGAACAATCAGTAAGTCTTCAATAAGACAGCCATTCATAATTTCAGATGCTTAACGCCTTATATGAGAAAAGGTTGCTTTATGGGTATCAATGATATTCAATACCTTCATTATATTATGGTTAGAAAAACTAGTCACTTAGAGTGGTAGTTGTCTTACAAAGGGGATCACCACAGGCTGTCCTAATAGAATCATGCACTCTAGACTTCTGCGGTGTTCTGAATCCCTAATCAACAGTACCACTCTTAAGAATAATAAAATATTTACCAATGTATTTAGAAAGTGCTCATATGTAAAGACAGCACTGAGTCACTGAAAGGTTTCACTGTATATTAAACAAACACTAAATATAATAAATTTTATCAGAAGAATTAAATAGCTGAATTCTAGAATTCGAAATTAAATACCTTACTTTCACTTTATTCCTAATAATAATAAAAGATTGTATCTCTGCAACAAATTACAATTCTCCATGCAGTATATTTTTAAACATTTGCAACAACCATGCATTTGCTTATCGAGTTGATATGGAATACTAAATGATACAGAAAATTACTAGTATAGGAATTATTTTGCATTCAAGATATTCTACAAAAGAAGTCTGAGATATTTATTTTATCATTTGGAAAAATATTTAATTTTTGCTTATTGAGAAAGAAATGCAAATCATGGGGTGAGGAGGGTACACTCAGGTATATTTTTAAATTTTGAGTTGTCAACTTTTACTCTCATACATTCAATATATACATAAATTCTGCTTATGATTTAAAATTTAATACATACTTCATACTCCATGTTTTCAAGAGAATGATCATAGTTTTATGATAATTATGTTTTCCGTATTTTAAATTAGCATTTCAATATTTTGTACTAGATACAAATAACATATTAAAATAACATGAAACACTAAGTCATGTAAGATTTCTCAATATAAGATGCATTAATAATCACTTTAAAATATACCTCAAGTGAATTCAATAATTTTTAGACAAAATGTGCAAGAAATTGCAGATATATACAGCAGCAACACTTCACCTACTCTATTAACAAAAGTACTGAGATTAAATGTTTAAGAGCATGTAATTTAGTATTTCTGTTTCACAAAATGCAGTAACTGCATTAAAATATACAGACCTCTTGTTCTTGAAGGAGTCATTGATTCTCCACGCCTATTAGCTCCTTCTCTCATGCTAGGAGGTACATATTTGCCAGCTTTTACTTTTTCTTCAACTTGAGGATTAGGTGTAACTGCAAATATAAAATTTGTATAAATAAAATTTACGTAGTTTTCTGTTATGCAACTGCCATAGATGCCAAACATACAGCGATACCCAGTGATAGCGCCATGATGAAACCAAACAATTTGTCAATTCAACTGACAAGCACTAAAGCGTGGCAGGTGCATAATAAAAAGGTACACACACACACACAAATATGTGGCAGGTTCATAAAGAAAAAGTACTAAAATTTATATAATGTAAGTTATAAATACAACAAAACAAAAAAATTTGTTTTTAAAAATTAATAAATTTAAGTACATTACAATATAACACATGCCACATCTCACTAATTGTAAAAATTATATAAGTTATCAGTGCAATGTTTCCAATGCGCTGTGACACAATAGTGCATTCGAAGACCCAAAAAATGCATAATAAAATTTTTGCATTTAAATAGCTTTTCTAAAATTCTGAATCTGTTTCCAAGGTCAGAAATGTACAATTCAGAATTTTCTGCAACCAAAAGAGTGAAATATGATTTTTTTCACTGTTGAAATTATGACACAGACACATATTACTACAGTTACATAATTTACATTATAGCTACCAATCTTGAAGTCTTGAAAAAGAGATAAAACCAGGAGGTTTTCAAGCTTTGTAGTGACACCATTTCAAAGGAATTCTAAGTGGACTTAAATTTATTTTATAATGCATGATTCAGGTTAAACTATTTGCAAAACAATACCATTGTAAAATATATTAGCATTTAATCAGATATTCTAAATTTTATGTTCTTTGGCTAATTTCATTTTTCAAATTTCTTACACTTTTATATTGAGAAAATCCCATATAGTGAAAAATATTTTATCAAAGTATTTTTAAATATGATGAAAATAAAATTAATAACTTAAACAAAACATTATGTACAATTAATATTCATAGTGGATAAACGTAATGTACCATACATTGAAATGAAATAAAATTAAATACAAATATTAACTGATTAAACACTGCTTGAAACTTCATATAAAAAACCTACAAGTAAACAGAGTAGATTACGACAACTTGGGTCAAATGAAATTTAATAACATCAGTAAAATGTAAATACAATTGAGATAAAATTTAACAAGAAAATTTATTTTGAAAATTACTAGAAATGGGAGAATCTAATTTGCCTAATTTAAGTTTTAATATTTCAATATATTTAAGTTATTGCTTTGAAACATTTTCCTTAGTAAAGGCTTAAGTTAAAAACCAAGATTTGGAGATCTATCAGGAGACTAGCAGGTGGGTTTGGTTTTGGTTTATTAGAGTACGGCAAAACACTCGAGAGCTATCTGCGTTAAGGGAAGGATGCCTTCGTGGAGGACTTTTTAAGGGAAACTGGCTCATATACACGTTACACATGGGTAAAACCAAGAAAACACCCATGCAGCCAGCCCATTCGCGGGATTCGAACCTCGGACCGAACTACCAGTGTTTAGCGACATTACCACTCGGCCACTGGTGGGCTACCAGCAGATGGGATGGAATACCAGAAGTTCCAAGTAAACCTGGGAGAATTGGCAGCTATGGCACGTTACGTCCACATCTTAAGTAAATTCTAGGGGAACCATAAGCGCAGACTTCAAATTAATAGGTAAGAGTTAAGCAGACATTATTACAAAAAATTAAAACACCTGCAAACTACACACAAATGTTTCATAAAATGTATACTTGAATTTAGTTATTACACAAGAATTATTACTATTCTACAAGAAGTGAAATTGAAAATTTGGGGTTAATAAAATCTATGGATCAAAATCAATGCAGTGATTAATAGAAAGATGTAGCTTTTGGACTTTCAAAAAGATACATCATCAAGGAAGTACGAGTTTGAAAATACTAACCAGCACAAAGTTCTACAAATATCTGATGAGTGATTTCAATTAAATTTAACTAAAAATAAAATGATTAACTAGAGAAAGGGAATTTTAACAAACTGTATCTACTGATGACTATCTTGCATAATAATTGAAAAAGGTTTCAAGCAATACAGAAATTCCTCCAAGTACAAATAATGAACCTCATACATCAATTTCTGAATGAATATTGCATAGCCAATTTTATCAAATAGGGATTTCAAGCAGAAGAATGCAGAAACTAATGTTAATGCCAATTCACAGAAAAAAAAAAAAAAAAAACTAGTTTAACTTGATGAACTCACAAAACATAGGCTGCTAGGCACTGAAAAGGCATTGAGGTAGCTGATTAACTCAAATTTTGCCTATGCTGAAATGAAATGAGGTACAAAATGAACAGGAAATCAGCCTGAAGTATGCATAGCGATACATTGAAGCTGGAAGGTATTTATTTAAAGAGCTTTTATCAAGGGATATGGAACTAAAATGGTGTGGTGATAATTTATTGATTGTAAATTATGCCCAATGGACAAGAAAATGAATCAAGTCTACAGAAAAATGCTAGACAATCTTATGATTCTTTTCACCCAAAATCTAATTTATTGGCAAATTCTCAACTTACCATGTTGACAGTTTCTGGGATTAACACAAAGACTATGAATGATGCAAAAGACAAAAAAAAAATAAATAAATAAATAAATAAAGATAGCAGCTTTACCAGATAATTCATATGCATATGAAAATAACAATGAGTCAGCAGATTTAGACTCAATCCTATATTGAGACAAATTTCTACACGATATATATAGAAAAAAAAAAAAAAAAATTACCTTTCAATAAAAAATGCTATGTGGGTACTGCTGGCAGCAGGTAGCGCTTTTGATTCCATATAATGATTAGTACATTTATGAGGTATCATAATACTGCATTTTTAAACTCGAAACATATTTATTAAAATTATGAGAAACTCTTTAGATATATATATAAAATTCATGGATAGCATGACAACAGTTATTGTACTGAAGTATAGCCCTCCTGTTAACGAGGGTCTTTCTAGTCAAACATTGAAGAGTATTCTGCCATGTTGTTCCGCTGGAAAAAATCTGCAGACTGAATTAGCCATGCCTCCTTAATTTTTCAGTAGTATTTTACATCTTCCATTTCATTACATCTGAAATGATATCGGAGGAAATACACGATTATTGGTTCATCAGCTCTCCTGAAATTGAGAGGCTTTGATGATAGACACAATGCAGAACGCTAAAATCTCTTGACATTGGTTGTGAAGTTATGTCTCTTGTACTGTGAACTGGAATGAATTATTGCGTTTGCGATGTCAGACCATGTCATGTGACACACCATCAAAGCTTGAAAACAGTGACTTGTGGGAACTGCACACATAATTTTCTCATCTCTGTCAAGGACCGCTGCAGTTATTTTATTTGCATTATCCACAGTACACAAATTTAACATAAAGCTCTACAAGTATCTCAATTAACTATATTTTACCGAATGGTATTCTTTCATCATGATTATTTAGACTTTTGAAAATCAAGTTTGCAACATCAATTGTAATATTTACTATTTTAATCAGAAACTTACCAGGTTTTGGCTCCTCTTTTAACAAGTCAGGCAATGTGCCTAATTTGTCTTTGTAAGGACACTGGGTAGTCCAATGATCATCTTTACAAATACGACATTTTACCATTTTTTGACCTTTCAGTTTAGCTAATGGATCTTCCTCTTGGCCTTTCTCTTCCTATGTAAATAGGCATGAAAATTAAAATCTAAATGCACACATCTTGCAAACAACAAACAAATTTAAAAAATCTATACTACAATTCTTGAAGTTTCAGTGGAAATCCTCAATGATTTATCAAAGGCAATGCAAGCAAAATAACTGACTGATAATGGACTATCAGTTTCATAGTACAGTCTCGTTAATTCGGACACCCATAATCCGGACCTCAAAGCTAAAATCTTTTTATGCATGCTCATAGGCGTTTTACGCGTGCGCGCAAGACATTTACGACTGAGCATATGCGTCTGCGCAAGCGCAGAATACGTTTTCGCGTGCGCGTTTAATGTATAATGAATGGTATAAGCTAAAATTATCTAATTATCTATTTCAGTTAATGTTGATGATTGCGTTGTTCCTTAATCTTCGAATTGGATCCGGCTTATTATTTTATTATTTTTTGCAGACTGTAAGAGCAATTTTATAAAAGTAAGCTTGAACTTTCGATTATGTCAAATAGAATTTCCGATGCTGGAGCTCCCAAAGGATCTACAAAATGAAAGTATGTTTCGATGTCCATCAAACAAAAAACAAATTGCTACAAAAAATGGATAAAGGTATATCCTTTGTTTATCTAACCATTCGGAAATCTGTTTATCAATTTCACACTGCTCTGCGCAGGGGGGGGGGGGGGCATATGTTGTGGTGTGCAATGAACTGGAAGTTGATCTGTCAGCACTATCCTTATCTTCAGGGCAGATATTTTTATTTTATTCGGCTTATAATTCCTTACTAAATGTAGAATTTAATATCGATGTACTCGGTCTTTGATATGATTTAAATCAAAATCCTCATTATAAATATCACGAATACAAATCAAATAGTTTTCTGGTTGCAATTTTCTAATTTCGGCTATGCGTAAGGTACGCATGCGCGCGTTGAAAGAAATGTTTAATAAAGTAAACAAATAATTATTAAAGCTTCTTTTTTGTAAATTTTGATACCCTTTTAGATCTAATTGCTCATTATTTTATAAATTATGGTTCATATTTTTAATTTTATAATTTCTGCATGCCATCTTACCAGATTTAAACTGATGATCTATAATCCGGAAAAATCCATAATACGGAATCGCCGAAGTCCCGACGAGTCCAGATTAAAGACTTTTTACTGTACAGTACTGTTTTTCCTAAAAAAAATTCTAGACAATTTATACATTCCGCAGTAGCATGTTATCTAAGAACTAATAATAATTAAATCTTAATCTACTAATAATTAATCTGAAACTTTAAGTAATAACACTATATAAGATTTAAATGAAAATATTAAATTAGCAAGATTTATGGCTTATTTTAACCCTTTGATGCACACAACATTATTTTTATAATCTTTTAACTAAAAAAACTCTAGAAATTAAATATTATGATCCTAGAGACAAATAATATATGAATTTAAAAATATTTACTCTCGCCCATTGATCGTGGGTGGTGGTCGAATTGTGAACCCAGCGCGCGTCTAGGACTTTGAAATTTACTGAGGTAGTACGAAGAAAAAAACTTACATTTTTCTGTACGCATTTCCAATAAATGGCAAAATTTGCGAATTTAAAAAAAAAAAAATGTACGTAAGAATTGCATTATATGTACATTTTTTACATTATTTTACAAAATAAATCTTCAGAAAAAAATTTAATAAATTTCTATAGCAGTGAAAACATAGGAATGTACATAATAAAGACGTTCAGATAAATGGATAAAAAAAATTGTTTTTTTTTTAAATGTCATAGAACAAATTTTTTTTGTGACACTGTTTAAAGCATGTTTTGTCTTTCTTTTTGTCATGTTTTGTCTTTCAATAGTTTGCATAGACCCACATTGCACGTTTCGCACATGTATGTTGTTCTATTAGGTTTCTTCCCTGTGCTACAAAATGTACACTGCCTGGCTCTACATTTTACTGGTATTATGTCCAGTCCAACGTTATGTAGTCTCTTCATCTGGCACATGAAATTTGTTGTTTTTTATGTTAATGGAGGGCAGGCTTGGTCTTTAAGGCTTTGATACAAATCTTTCGTTTCCCATTCATATTTATTTTATTCGGATTTCGTACCAAAGTATTTAGAAAATATTTTTAATTTAAATGAAACTTTTATGTGATTTCTATTTTTAATTCTATTTTTAATTATTTTTAATTAGCAAAGTATATTTAAATTATATTTAAGCCACACAAAATAATTTATAAAATCACAATACTAGCATAGGAAGCAAGCATATTGAGGTCAGAGAAAAGTCTCTGGAAAAGAAAGACCTTTTCACTAGGCAGGTGCATGTATTGTTTAGTAATAAAATAGCCCTGTGGTATCAATATCAGGATAAAAATAAACATTCCTACTTGAAAAGCAGCAAACGCCATTGTGAAGAGCAGTGGTTTCAAGGCATGACCACTGGAGCCTCTAGAGCAGGGTTTCTTAAACTTTTTTCAGTTGCGACCCCTTTTTATCATTGAAATTTCTTCGCGACCTCCAGGACTTCATAATATTTACAAAAAATTTGTTGGATCCCATAAGTATTGTGGGAATCCAACACGCGCGTGAGTGAAACTGTCAGTTTTTTCACTTGTACTATATACTATTGCAGCTTTAGGTCATTAATTTTAATTTCTAATTTTAAGTCATAGAACAATGTGAAAATTTTAAACAACAGATGTCACGTGCAAAGCAAGGAGAATGAATGTTTATATTATAAAATTTCGTTTTCAATTTTTTTTCTTTGTCTGTATTGTCTTATCTTGATCTAGTTTCAGATACATTGTATACAAATATTTGATAATTGTAAAATTATTGTAATAAGTTTAGGAAGAAATATCAGAATTGCTAAAATTTTTGGAGACCCCCTTGGAGGTTGCGACCCACAGTTTAAGAAACCCTGCTCTAGAGGATTGTGAGCATTGTGCGCAGTGGCTACGCCCTGAAACCACAAAGCAATATCTTTATCTATTTTCAGATACATTGTATAAAAATATATGACAATTGTAATAATTTTAGGAAGAAATATCAGAATTGCTAAAATTTTTGGCGACCCCCTTGGGGGTTGCGACTTACAGTTTAAGAAACCCCGCTCTAGAGGATTGTACGCAGTGGCAGCCCCCTGAAACCACAAAGCAAATGCCATAAATATACATATGTGTTTTATATATGCAGTTTAATTATTGCTTTTTTTTTATCGTTTGTGATAGAAATCATGATGTGCAATTAATAACTTTTGAAATTTAAAGTTGTTTATATTAATAAAAGGAAGTTATTTTGTCTCATTGAAAATGAATTTTAAAAGGCATCTGATTTGAAGTACTAAGACCTAAAAAATGTATGATTCTTCAGTCATTTTATGTTATTTAGAGGTAAAAGATCAGTAATCAATCGGTTTTCACTCAAATTTCGGAAAGAAGAGGAGAAAAAATTCGAAAATTGGTGGTTTCAGGGTGCGATCAGCAAGCGTCAAAGGGTTAATTGTTAAACGTTGATAATTTATTCTGTTATGATTGTAATAATATAAATATTACAAAATTTCCAGTGCTACCAAAAAGAGGGAGGGGAGGTTTCAGTACATAAGTTTGGAATTCTGAAAGAACATTTGCTTGAATCTGTATGCACAACTTAAAATAGCATTATTTGATGAAAGACAGCATCTTGATTCTTTTAACTACAGTTATACAAGCAATGTAGTATTTTGATCCTGAACTGAACAACAGAAAGATTCCACAAATGAAAGCAAAACAATTAAAGCATAAGACAACAGGCTTCAACAAAAGATAAAAGATAAATAATTTGAAATTCAAGAATACTAAGCAAGTAATTTTTCCTTAATACATGAAAAAAAGAATTCATATTTAAACTAAAACTAGGTTTATAAAAGACGAATTAAAATCTAATCACTAAACTCTTTCTGGCCTGGATTTCAAACACAAATGCCCCTTTTATTTTTATTTATTTATGTTTCTACTGCTTAGCAATATGACAATTTGAAAAATTACTATTTGATGAGAAAAGCAGATGTAATTCATATGGTATGAAAAGAAAGAAAAATTGTTCAACTACATACTTCCTAAGTAAACTTTCTCCTAAGTTCTTACAAAAATATACAAGTCTTTAATTTTATATACTGTTATATTAAGCGACCAAAAAGAAATTCAAAGATGTGTTAAACATGATAAATTACAAACCTCTTTATTTGAAAGGAACTGCATAAATATTTCTTCACAAACAATAGTATTAGCTGGATTTGGACCAGGTGGATCGTTTCCAGCTAAACCGAACTTCTTCCATGCCTGAACAAACAAATAAAAAAAATAAATAAAAAAAAACTAAATATGAAGCAAAGAAAACAAATAAAGAATATGACAGCAGCATTATGAAAAGTAACTCACTTTTCGGTATGCAATGGATTTAGAAACCATCTTCCTTTCAATTTTGTAGTAACGGACAATCTGAAAAATAATAAGATGATACTAGTGTTAGTAATATTCATGAAAATAAATATAACAGAGTGACTAATTTGAACTACTCAGCCACTGGTGGGGCCCGACTCATGTAAGTATACAATGGAAGAGGTGAAAAGGGAATAGAGTCTACTTACTGATTTTAAATTTACTTTAAAAAAAAAGGCTCTCGATGGAAATGGTCACCGGGAAAATTGTTTTTAAAAAAATCATGATATGATATAGAAAAAAATTTGTATTCAGATTTTGTATGAACATTTTTTTAATATAAAAATGACAGAGATACCTGTGAAACTAAGATAAATTTAAAAAAATATCCGACGGGCTACATATTTTAATCAGTGCCCAATGGGTATCTTTTAAGTTTTGTATGGTTTATCAGTTGAGACTATCAATACAGATGCCCCAGGTGGAATAGTAAAAAATTTTGGAAGATATTAGATGAATACACATTTGGGCAAAGACAAAAATGTTCTACATCTTCTGTATACTTAAAATATGAAAAAAATATATAACGCAATTCAATAAAAATATTTAATGTTTTGAAATTAGCTATATCATGAATTAAATGCATTTCTATTCAAATCACTCAGATCCAAAATAAAAAAATATATGTATTTTTTCCGATACCTTTCTGTTACACACCTGCCACACATTTTGGTAGAACTGTTGCAAATAATATATGTGTGTGTGCTTAATTAATCTTGTTTATAAATACACACATACAAACATAATCCCCAGATGATGCCGTCTTAGGTCTTTGCACGTCTTGCTTTTTAGCAGGGGCCAAAATGCGTGGTAAGTGCCTAAGTATATAGGAAAAGTTCCTATTTTCTTAACAACTCCTTATATTGCTTTCTTAGTTTAGTTTCTCAATTAATAGCAGACTGATTAAATCTGAAATATAAACATCTGACATTTTGCCAAATGAAAAGTGAAACAACACATTTACAGTGGACAAGTGAATTGACGAAATATCATGTTTTGAGACTAGTTGCATTTTAGGGCTAAAAATTAAATACCACTATTTCACCATATCTTTGGCTGGGACTTCTGAAAACCATCACATAATTCACAGAAATACATAAACAATAAACATAAAATTCACAGATTGGTGAATTATAACATGACTGTTTTGCCAGCAATTACTGAGAACTTCTGGCTAAACATTTATTCAGAACCAATAGCAAGTTTCAGAGAATAAAAATGACAATTTTTTTCCTGTACAGGTTTCATGACACAGAAAGTGCAGTCCTAGTAATGTGTTACTTTATTTTAGTGCAGAAACTGCAGTAAGGTAATTTTATAAGTATGTACACTGCTAAAAAAAAGGGGGGAAAGGGACAGTTCTATTACCTCCCATTCTACTGGACCAATTCACGAAATTCAAATTGCGTTCATGTGTCGAACGCATGACTTAGGATATATATTAGATTTATATACAGCACTATTCTAACATAGGTATTTTGACACAAAATCGAACTTTTTCTGAAATAACATGCCAATTTTTTTACATATTTCGATTCTGTGACTCAAATTATGCCTAAATTTGAAATTTTGTAAGATTTGGTGCATAATTTACGGAAAAATTGACAAATTTATGTTGCCGCTTTTTTGTCAGTTTGCGCCAAGAAAAGTTCACTTAGCGCACTTCTTAATATATGGCAACCTATTTTCCTTTCCTGTGAGAGGAAAAAAAATCACAAAGTTCTTTCTTTCAAATAATATTCTTTATATTATATTTTTATGTTATTATTTTAAATATTTCTTTTTTCCTTTACGAATTTCATTTTAATTCTTCAAGTTTCGTGGTTTCTTTTGAATAACTGTTTTAAAAATTTCTATTTAGACATTCGAACCACGTAGTTTAAATATATAAGGTGCATCGTTTATTTTTTTCAAATAGCTTTCTATTGTATGTATTTTGTGAATATTTTGTCATAGTTAATATTTTAGGCAATTTTTAATTTTTAGACTTTTATTTTAATTGTTTGTGTTGCATTGTCTCCTTCAGATAATTGTTTTAAAACTTTTCTATTTATTCATTCGAACTGAGCATTTTAAATATATTTATTATATAAATTTTCCAGGATTTGATTTTATTTCAGTATTTTTGAATTGCGTTTCTTTCGGAAGAATACTTTGTGTCCCAGACTATGATGCATTTGAAAACTGCAATATATTAAAAGAGAAAATACAGTAAAGCACAGTTAACACGTCTATCAACGTTCCATTCAGAAATATATATATAATAAGAGAGATGTATAACCGGCATTTTAACTTCGGATGACTTGCATACATTGCTTTCAACAGCTTTATCATTATATTCCCATTGCTTTACACAATTTTATCCTACATTTGGTTTCTTAAAATGTTATTCATATTTTAGTTAAAAAATATTTTATTTTTGAAATTGCAAGAATCAAATATCATAAGATTAAAAAGTTTTAAATTTTAAAAAAAAATACCAAATTTTATGCACAAATTTATTTTTTTCTTCTTAATGTCTTGCTCTTTTTCTTCAAGCATGCTGCAAGTATATTAAAAAGCATCCAACTTTTCGAAATATCTTGGTACTTCTGACATTCATTTTAAATAAATTTATCGCCTTCCATTCCAAAAAGCCAGCAGCGGCCGAGCGGTAAAATCGTTGAACACTGGTACTTCGCTCCGGGGTTCGAAAACGGGCTGGTTGCATAGGCGTTTTCGTGGTTTTTCTCATTGTAATGTGTATGCCAGCTGGTTTCCCTTAGAAAGTTCATCACGAAGGCCCTTTAGGGCAGATAGCCCTGCTTTGCCGTAACTTAGTAATCCAATTCAATCCATTTTATCAGTACTTGGGCTGACCTTTATCAGTCTTTAGAGGCTAAGCATTTTAAGGCATGAGATGAAGGGAAAGACTGGTTTCATAAAGAGGGAAAACGTCTTTAGATGACATCCATATACATCACTGGATAAATTCATGAATATTTTAATAATTTCACTAAGAAATAATGGGATTCTCTGTTTATTATTATATGATGTTCTGTAACGTAATTTAAATTTATACAAACATATAGTCGAAAACCAGGCGCTCTTTACTTTAATCTGCAATGATATCGTTTTTGTCTTTTTCCGTTAGCACAAGCTCAATTAATGGTATTTGCTAGTGTGCACGTCCAAGTTTTCTCTTTGAAAAACCCAAATAACTTGAAGTATTCTGAAAGTATATTCAAAAGCATTTATTTTTTTGAAACACCTTGGTATTTCTGACAGCCAAAATCCATTTCAAATTTTTGCTTCCTTATCTCCCTACATTTCTTCGTTCTACATTTATTTTCAGTGCTCACCACAAGAAAATTAAGATTTTTCGATTGTTACACTTCCATAAATTTTGCATTCTTGTCAATTTTTTTAAAATATTAATTGCATGAACTGCGTTTCAGTTGAAGACAGCTTTTCATTTTCTAGGCATTTTTAACTATAAAGAAAGTTTAAAGCAAAGTCCAAAGGATAAATATTTTACTTAAAAGATTTTTTGCTTAAATGACAAAGAAATAAAACAGTCCAGCAGTGTTTATTCTGTACCGCCGAGTGACCCGATTTTTATATCGTCTGAAACAATCTAAATCATATTAAAGATCATGTTTTTTTTTTTTATACAATTTAGAATGCGAGAAAAAAATCAGCTTCTTAAAATATTCTTTCTAAGAGGATTCATATAAAAATATATATTTATATATATATATTTTTAAAGCTGGAACTTGAACCAAACTGTCAAACTTTTAAAGTTTAATTTACATGGTGGTTATATTTTAAAGTTCCACTTTGAAAATAATAAACTATTGGTCATAAAAGGAAAACTACCAGACCAAATGTTATCAAACTTGGTAATCGTGTAAAGGAGGTTATGATAATTCATTTTCCATGTGGGGAAAAAAAAAAAAAAAGAGAGAGAGTTCAAAAACTCACCCCAGAGGAAGAAATGGTGCTGTATGCAATATTGTTAAATGAAATATGACAGGAAGACATCGCCTTAAAATGTGTTTAATCATTTCTGAAACGTGTTACAAAGCATGTTCAATGTAGCGTCCAGCATTTTCTGAAAGCAAGTTAAATCCTGTTACTGCATTCTCAACAGCAGCTCTTAGCATATCAGGAGGAATGTTATGGACATGTCTGTGTATCACATTTTTCATTTCTGCCAAAACTGTTTAGATTATCACAATAAACAGTGCTTTTGAGATAACCCCATAGCCAAAAGTCACAGAGTTTGAGGTCTGGTGGCAAGTGGGGAAGGGCCGGCCTATAAGACGTTCATTCGTGAAATTTTAACATTGACTCTAAGCGAGCTGCAATCACAGTGGTCCAGCTGTTGACTGCTCTTCAGAGAAAAATGGTTCAGTTATGAAACTAGCTGTTATTCCACACCAAAAAGGTGTGGGATGACTGCTATGCAATGGAATGCAGTAGGAGAATGCAATGGAACTAGGTAGATAACATGAGGGATTTCTTTGGCCCAAATCGATTAAAAGAGTTTTGAATCAGTATTTTAATGTTTTAGGGCCGAATTCATGCTTCAAAAATTATAAAACAATCTGTAAGAAAACGATTTCCAGATTGTAGGCACTTGTGCGAGAACTCACATTTTCTAATCGCTAATTCGTGGTTTTCACGGACGAATTTCTCCTTTACACGGATGGCACACTCGACTTTTATCGACTTTAATGCCTTTAAATGATAATTTGCTTACTTCAAAGTTTCTTAAGGGTATACAATATATTAAACCAGTGTAACAAAAGGTTAAGTTAGATTCAAACCCATATTTTGTTTAACAATATTGCATACAGTGCCATTTCCCCCCGGTGGTGAGGTTTCGAACTTTTTTTCACGGAAAATAAATTCCCATAATCTCCTTTACACGGTTACCAAGTTTGATAACATTTGATCCAGTAGGTTTCCTTTTATAACCATTTCAAAGTGGAACTTTAATTATAACCACCCTGTATATTATTAAATTTTAATTTGAAGATATGCGTATACCACGCTTAAGACTTTCACTTTTATGGAAAAAATAAAGAATCAATGCAAATGTACTTAGGATAATGCACCAAAACTGAAAAAATTTTACCTCCCTCCGAAAATAAAATATTGAAAATTTGACCTTAAACTTATTATCGATACATTCAATTTGACTTATCTTCCGAGTCCTAGTTCCGATAACAATTCCATCAAAAATTCCGAATTACTGAAGCTGAAGTAAAAGGTTTAGTATATATTCACTGTATGTTAATAAAGTAATCAGAGTGTAAAAAAATAGATCATAGAATTAACGCTGATGCAACTTTTTGTCTGAATGCACAACATGTAATGGAAGAGAAGGCTTGTAGAGATCTGTTTTTGACATGCCTCTAAAAGTAGATATCGTACTCTTTTTGTCTCTTCAATGTCAAAAAAACTTTCCTCTGAGAGGCAACTTTAGATTTTGGGAAAGAAAAAAATCACAAGAAGAATTTGAAGAATATGCAGGATGATTGAGTACACTTACTTATTTTCGGAATGCAAGTGGTTCTCCAATTGGTTATTGAATAATGAAAAGATGCATTGTCATGCAGTACAAAACATTTGGAGTAAGTATTCTGACTGAAAAACTTAAGATTAAAAGTCATCTGCTTAATTCACAGCCATTTACAAGTCAGCTACTTGGGCAATTGCAGAATCGTTTTGATACCTGTGCTTGTAAGACAAACCTAATATCACTGGATTTAAACACTTCTTTAATCTTCTGAGAACATTCCTTCTTTAGCTCATATTCCAAGAATATTGAATACAATTATTGCCAAAGAAATTGAATACTCATTTGCACTACGGCTTGGTAGTTTACTACGAGTTAACAAAACTTAAATTCTGCTTTTTGTGTCTAAGAATACAACAATATTTTAAATATTTACAAATAAAATATTAAATTGGAGATTTAATTGGAGCCTTACCAGTTGCCTAGCATTTGACGATTGTTAAATACTAATTGTTTCTTGCGAAGTCTAAGCCAGGCTGCATGATTGGTTTTCGTAGTTTTGTAGGTTCTCTATGAAAGCATCTTAACCAAATAGCTCCCATGTTCTTTCTATGTTCAAATAACCAACTAACTTAGTTTAAGCGTGATTTCTAAGTGAAGTTACTAGCAAAACCCAAATACTCAATAAAAATCATGTAGCTTGCAAGTTGGGAGTTAAATGAAAGATACAACGTCAATAATTGAATTGCTGTTTCTAAACTTGGATGGTCATTCCTTAATTGAATATAATTGATTTGTAACTTCTACTAGAGCTGACGGTAAGAATTGAAGTATAAATAAATAATATCTTGTGCAATCTTGATTAATATAAAATTAGAAATATTTTCATAGAAAAATATTTGCATTCAGACAGAAAGTTTTTTGAAATATTTGCAATTACCTTATAAGAAAGATTTATTAATAACTGTAATAATTGCTTATTATATTGCTGATAATTAGAATTCAGTTCTTGAAAATTTCATTCCAAATTAGAATTTTAAGTGTATAATGAAAATACGCTATGCAGAAAAATACATTTTAGGATTAAAAAATTAGTCAATTTTTTATGTTTAAAAACTTCTTAAATTCATTTAATGAACATCGTACCCTCGTTGGTAATTGAATCTAGAATGTTGGGTCTTATCTAGCCATTAAGTAGAATGTTGGATGGCGTTTGTATAATTATTCTTAGAATATTCTTTAGAAATAAATTATGCAGGTACTGTCATAAAATATTTTTATAAAATTCAAATAAACATCAAATGAAAGTTCTCAGTTTTAGACAATTCAATTTAAACGAAGTTAAAGTAAAGTAGCAGACAATAAAACACCGAAGATAAAAAATGTACTCTTACAAATATTTTTTTTTTAAAAAGAAGAAGTACAAAATTTTTTTAAAAAGTTAAAATTTTAAATATCATTTATAATTTAAAAAAATAATTTTTCACATAGTATTAAAATATTTATTATATATCAATGGGGGAAAAATTTCATATAATTAATTCTCCGTAAAAATTTATTTGAAATTTAAGGTTAAAAATAGCAGTGGCAATTCACTGTAACAAAAATCCATAAACCACATTTGGCGTTATTATAGCTCAAAATAAATGATGCCAAATTTCAAAATGCGAAAATATGTAAATTCGTGTATATCTTAGAAAATTGTGAATAAAAATGTCTAATTTTTTCAGGTATGCTTAGAAATACACCTACTTTAAGATGATGGTAAAAATTTTATAGGTTATAATTCAAAAATCTTTTTTTAAAAATTTATAAAAATTATTTAAAAATAGAAATTTAAAGAATAGAACACAAATAATGGGTAAGTTTCATTTGGAATGAACCTAAATTTCGAAATGTGAAAGGAAAAATCAAAAAGTTTAATATAAAAGGGGATATTAATAAATATTTGCCAAATTCAATTAACATTGAGGAGCTAAAATTTTGAGAGCTAATACAGTCAAAAGTCTTTAATCCGGGCTCGTCGGGACTTCGGCGATTCCGTATTACAGATCATCAATTTAAATCTGGTAAGATGGCATGCAGAAATTATAAAATTAAAAATATGAAACCGTAATTTATGAAATATAGAACAATTATGATCTAAACGGTATCAAAATTTACAAAAAAAAAAAGGCTTAATATTTATTTGTTTACTTTAATAAACATTTCTTCAACGCGCCGCATGCGTAAATCATACATTATGCATAGTCGAAATTAGAAAATTGCAACCAGAAAACTATTTGATGTGTATTCGTGATATTTATAATGAATTTGATTTAAATCATATCAAAGACAGAGTACATCGAGATGAAATACTACATTTAGTAATGAATTATAAGCCGAATAAAATAACAACATCTGCCCTGAAGATAAGGATAATGCTGACAGATCAACTTCCAGTTCATTGCGCGCCACGACGTTCCCCTCCCCTGCAGAGCAGTGTAAAATTGATAAACAGATTTCAGAATAGTTAGAGACACAAAGAATATGCTTTATTCACTTTTTGAAGCAATTCCACTTTTTGTTTGATGGAAATCGAAATATGCTTTTGCTTTGTAGATCGTCTGGCAGCTCCAGCATCGGAAATTCTATTTGACATAATCGAAAGTTCAAGCTTACTTTTATAAAATTGCTCTAACAGTCTGCAAAAAATAATAAGCCGGATCCAATTCGAAGATTAAGGAACAACGCAATCTGCAACATTAACTGAAATAGATAATTAGATAATTTTAGCTTAGTTTATACCATCCGTTATACATTAAACGAGCATGTGTAAACGTATTATGTGCATGCGTGAAAACATTATTAGTTGATGCATGTGCAGAAAGTTTGTAGCTTTGAGGTCCAAATTATAGATCATTCTAGATTATGGGCGTCCGGATTAACGATAATTTGAGTCGTAGAATAAAAATATAGAAAAAAAAAAATTGGTATGTTATTTCAGAAAAAGTCCAATTTTATGTCAAAGTACCTATATTAGAATAGTGCTATATATAAATTTAATATATATCCTAAGTCGCGCTTTCGAGACATGAAAAATGCAATTTGAATTTTGTCAATCAGCCCAGTAGAACGGGAGATATAGAACTGTCCCATTTTTTTTAGCAGTGTACATTCTTCATTTCCAATTCATTTAGACCCACTAGTGGCTGAGTGGCTGCGACTGCTGAATATCAGTGGTACAACCTGGGTTCAGATCCCAACAAACAGGATGACTGCATGGCTGTTTTTGCCAAATGTAACATAAATATGAGAAAGTTGCTCTTAACCCTCCAAGAAAGCATTCCTCTCCTTAGACAGAGAGTCCTCATTTGCTCTTCCATAATCAACCAAATCCAATTAATTTATTTAATGCAACATAAAACTTGCATATTACACAGTACTAAATCACACAGGATAATCACATAGGAAGTCACAGAATAAGAATTTATTTTATTTTCTATTGGCTGATAGAATTAATTTTTATAGTAGAAATGGAAAGACCTTACACATGACTTTACAAATATATAAGATCTACAAGACAAAACATTTTTTTTTAATGAGTTTAGGCACTTTAACAGAAAATGACTTAAACTGTTTAATACTTTTAACTTTATTAATTAATCATTAAACTTAAGAATACTTTTATACAAATGGTACTCACCTTAACCTTTTTGCCTTCATCATTTACTTTGTATTCCGTAACAATTTTCTTATCTCCAACAATAACTTCTCCAGCTGGTTGCAAATCAGCTACAAAAATAATTAATAGTTAAAAACACATACTTGAAGAGCAGTATATTATTGACATACTATATCCACATCTCACTTTATCAAACATCAAAAAGAACTCCACCACACACTTTATCACAGAGTTTTAGAAATTCATGTGTTATTTATAAAATGAAAGTTACAACCTAACATTGTTTACAATGAGTTTGAAATACTGCCGCTTTTTTATTTCAATTAAAAAGCTTTATTATTATACCTAGAATTTTCATTCTTTCTTCTCATCAATCATTTAAGCTCTTCAAGTTGTCATATATGATACAGTTCAGTTTCCTTACATGGGCACACTGTATCAAATATGACAGGATGGCCCATCATACCATATTCGGTATGCTAAAACGGAATGTTTTGTTTCAAATTTTAAAAGCACATGCATTATATCAGAATGCTATTAAACCTTACTGAATGGGATCTCTTGAATGTCAGCATTGTTTTTATGAATATTATCTGCTACTTTTTTCCTACATATATAAAATATGCAATGCTTACAATGTGCATGCAGAATTTAGGAATGTTTCAGGAAGTGCAAGCATCTTAAAATGCTGTATATAAACATGGCAATACAATATAAGAGGCACTGATATTTAAATTCTTTACTTACTTTTTTTACTTTATGGAAATAATTTAATTATGTAAATATAATCATTATTATTTATACTGCACATTGATTTATTTCAGATTTTATTTTAATTGTACATATTAAGATTTTTTTGTTTACATGACTATAACCAAAGACTGCAAAAATAAAGGCTGGGTAAAGGGTGGATATGTATGTATGTATATATATTATACATTCACTTTTTTTGTAATTTCATTCGAAAACTTTTATAATATTTTTTTTTTCAGTTCTTTGTCCCATTTCAAAAGGAAATAAGCAAAAAGTCTGCTTGTCATCCATGAGTTCTTGTTATTATGGTAAGTTAAATGTAAATTCTTGACTCAATTTAAACATCCGAGGTTTTCTACTCTTTCCAATATTCAATGGTGTCTTTTTAATTGTTGCATTCATATAACTTATTTCAATTTCTTAAAAAAACAGTTGCTGTTCCACATTTTATTTAATGTAAAATGTGAGTCATTTATTCATCTGTGTTAGTAAATTTCATGTGGCTTGTATTCTTCTAGAAGCCTGGGCAAAATAACTTTCATCCATTTGCTAGTCAAATGATGATCTGGCCCTTACTTTTCTCCATGTAGTTTCCGATAAGCAATGTTATTCTCTCTTTCAATCTCATCAGCCATCCATCAGTTGGTACAAATTTTCTCCCAGCATTTCAGAAAATTCTACCATTTTTATGGTAAAAAAAGCTCTAAATATTAGAATGTTTTTAATTTCATAGCTTCAAACCATTCTAGAAGAGCAGTTGCAACATTTCTCAATTTTCCATTTCTACTGTACTTCCTTAAAACATTTACACTTGTTACTAGTTCTTTATCAATTTTATTTCCTTGTTTAACCCTTTCAGGACGGGCGTCCCATATCCGCATTCCCTAAGAACGTCTCTTACAGCTGGGGCATCCCATCCACGCATCAGTAAAGATCACATTCAGAGGACGGGTGATGCATATACGCATTTTAAGGTGGAACGTTTTTCTGAAGGCCACTAGATGGCATCCTTGTGTCTATTACTTTTGAAATGAATACAGTTTTAGGTTCCTGACCTTGAGTTTGATATATTCTGCTTGACTTTGGTATTTTACTCATCAGCTGTTCGAGGGGGGGGCGGAGGGAAAGCGTAAACAGAAGTGGGCTCTTTAAATCACTGTGTGCTACTGAAAACATTCTCGTATCTGATTTATATCCAATTCCTTTTTTTATTCTATTTTTTCCTCTACTATGTACGGTCTTTTAGGGTTACTGTGTGAAGTTTTTTTACGTTTTGCATTGCCTTCAGATATATATCCGTTCCTTCTTTTTTTATTTAGGAAAGCCTCACCTCCAGTCTATTATGGCAGGAAGGCACTATTTATCAGAGGAAGAATACCCTAGTATGGTTAGTGAACATTTACTAATGCAAATGAGAATACTGATTCATTTTCTAAAGAGTTAAAAAGTGATACTTTTTCTAAGAGTTACAAAGTGATACTTCTCTGTGCTTCGAGATTTACCACTCGTTTTCATTTTAAATTTTGTTACTTCTTACTGTAAATAGTCTTTATTGTGTTCTTTTTATTAATTTTAAACTTTATCGATGGATTTTATCAATTAAAACTTTGGAATAATTTGAATAGGGCCTCCGAAAATTATTTTAGAAGATAAGCAATTTTTTAAGTATATTTTCATGTAAAATAAAGAAAAAATTAAGGGCTAATTTTAACATATATAAGAGCTCAAGTAATAATCTAAAATGATACCAAAAATTACGATGCTAGAAGCAAAATTTTTGTTTTTCTGATTTTTGTTATAAAATTAGGTTTAGCGGTGCAAAACCTCCATCCTGTACGGAGACTGCCTTCGATTCTCTTCCGTCCCGCAAAAGCATCTTAAACAAAGGTGCGCCGTCGCAAAAAGGTTAATCTTCTCATTGGTTCTGGTTTATTATTTTTTGCAGACTGTTAGAGCAATTTTATAATTTTGTTTTACCTTGATTAATTAGTTAGAAGTAACGATAACGATAAGAAAATAAATAATAATACTGTGGCGCCATAACGTGGGCCATTGGGTTGAATTTGAACTGAAATTTAATAGATTTGCTTTAAGGAAAAACATGGATTTAGAAAAATTAAAAAAGAAACGATCTGCTATAAGAGCAGTAGTTACGAGGCTGATAAATAAGATAGAAACAGAAAATGCTAATGAGGGGAATAAAAATGTAATTGAAGAAACGGTTGCTCAGTTAATTAGTAAAGAAGAAGAACTAATATTAGCAGATAATGGTATTGAAACTTTAATCGATGTAACAAATTTAGAAGATGAGATAATGTCTAGAGAAGAGTATAAAAGTAAAATTATTGTTTGGAAATTACGCACGAAAAGATATTTAGATACTAATCCACATAGCCCTAATTCTACTTCATGTGGAACTATCACTGAATCGCAGAACAAAATTAAACTCCCCAAATTGTCCCTGGAAACATTTTCGGGAAAGGATGTGTGCAGTTGTTCCGGGTTTTGAGCACGATTTGAGACAGCTGTACACGAAAATGAAAGTCTACATGCGGTAGATAAATTTAACTATTTAAAGTCAATTCTTACTTCCGATACAGAAATTGCAATACAAGGGTTGCCAATCAAAATCGTAAAAAACAACCTTATATTTAGCGTAGGTATAATAAAACACTCAATCGATTTCGAGGGCAGCTAAAGGTCCCTCCTCATCAGGAGAAAAGAAATACATAGAAAGAAGAAAGTAGGAATCACAGAAACACGTGGTGCTTATCAGCACTGCACGTGGTTATAACTAGATTTTTAATCAGAGTTGATTAAAATTGTACAACTCTGATTAAAAATCTAGTTATAACCACGTGCAGTGCTGATAAGCACCACGTGTTTCTGTGATTCCTATTTTCTTCTTTCTATGTATTTCTTTCTCCTGATGAGGAGGGACCTTTAGCTGCCCTCGAAATCGATTGAGTGTTTCATTATACCTACGCTAAATATAAGGTTGTTTTTTACGATTTTGATTGTCACATTAGCGTGTTTCTCTTCTAGTCTTCTAGTCTACAAGGGTTGCCGTTAACAGCGGAGAATTACGAAAAGGCTGTGAAAATATTAAAAGATCGCTTCGGATGCAAAGAACTAATAATAGATACTCACATGAACAATTTATTAACTCTGACTCCGGTTAAAAAGTCTTGCGATGTGACAGCACTTCGAAAATTATATGATCGTTGTGAAGTACAAATTAGAGGATTGGAATCGTGTAATATTTTATCGGATTCGTACAGTACCTTATTGTATCCGATATTAATAAAGGTGATTCCGAATGATTTAGCACTAGAATTTAATAGGAAATATGAAGATGATAACCAGACAAAATTTACAATTTTGCTAAATTTTCTAAGGAAAGAAATAGAAAGTCGAGAACGTATAGGATTTTTAGTTAAGCCAACAGATTCTGAAGTCACTGAAAGGAAATCCCACTTTGAAAATAAGCGGCAGTTTCGAGAACGTTTTCGAGACAGCGAAAGAAATCGAGATTATAATAAGGGTAGAATTCCTTCAGCGGCAGCGTCAAACACATCACTATCTAATAGCTGTTTATTCTGTTCTGAAAATCATGTCAAAAAACTGTGCCAGAGAAAAAGGAAGCGTTAAAGCGAAGGGGATTTTGTTTCGTGTGTCTCTAAAGATACCATTTAGCGAGAATGTGCAAATCGAAACTAACTTGTGGTATTTGCGATCGGCGACATCATACATCATACACTCTGACGAAACGAATGCGTCAGACAAGAGTCCCGTCCAAGGTGCAGTAGTCTCTTCTGTTTCCGATTGCGCAACAGGAAATAACTCATTTCTTCTGACAGCACGAGCTGAAATTATAAACACAGGCAATTGGCGCCAGCAAAGCGTTCGCTTGTTGTTTGATTTAGGATCGCAGCGAACATTTATTAGAGAGGACATCTGTAAGAAATTAAAACTTCCCGTTATTGGAGAAGAAAAAATAAAATATTCTCTTTCGGTTTCACGACGTCTGAAGCACAGAATGTTAAAAAAACCAGGCTCATTTTTGTAATTTGAAGTTATCGATATGAAATCAAAATAGAAGCTTTAATTATTCCTGTCATTAATGGATCATATATTCATTACCCTAGAAATGAAATAGTTAATCTTATTAAAAAACATGGCATACAACTTTCTGATGAATGGGGACAAGGGAATAAACCGTCAAAAATTTCTTTGCTGATAGGAGCTGATTTTTATTGGAAAATAGTTACGGGTAAGGTTCACAGACTGTCTAATTCCTTAGTAGTGGTTGAAACAAAATTGGGTTGGACCATTAGTGGAACAGAAAGGGCTTATG